ACGTCTACCAGCAGTTCGCAGGCCGATCCGCTGGCGACCGCTCGTCATTCACCTCGACCTCGTCGTTTGAGGGCATCTCGTCCTCGGCGTTGACGTTCCCGCCCCATTTCGCGCTTGCGGGCCTTGCGGGCCTCCTCATCCTCTGCGGTGCGTTGCCTGGGACCCATGGTGCTCTTGGGAGGGATGGAGGGGGCGGATGACGAGGCGGATGGCAGCTTGGGAGCAATAGCCATCACGGAGGGGTAAGGCTCGATGGAGACTTCGAGAGGGGAGGAGTTGGGGATGTCGGATGAGGGATGTTGCGATCGAAGCTTGGTTGGGGTAGCGCCGGTCACCTGTACTCCAGGCACATGGTCGGGTGGCGCAATCTCTCCTAGGTCGGGCTGGATGAATTGTTGCTGGTGTGGAGGTTGCCCATGCTGCATGTATTGAAACGGAGCATACATCGGCGCGGTCGTCATGAGCGGTTCTGATCCGTGGCCGTGGCCGTGCGAAGAGCCAGACGAAGAAGAAGACTGGTGCTGGTGGTGCTGGTGCGGATGCTTGGCCGGGCTAGGCGGGACCTGCTGGTACGGCTGGTTGTGCATCCCTCGACGGGTGGCGCTAACCTGCGGCGGGCGGAGTGGGTCAGCGGCGGGACGGCGAGAGTGCGCGAAAGGAGCAGAACAGGCGAGGATTCGTCAAGAGTTGCCGCAGCCCCTAATGTCGAGTTCCTTTATGCGTCGTTGGGGGTGGATGCGGTCGGTGGCCAGGCGTGTTGTGCAAACAGCAGACGGATGGTCGGTGAGCGGCGGGGGGATGTGTGTGGAAAGTAGTCGTTGCGTTGAAAAACGGAAATTGGCCGCTCGAGCGAGTTGACGCACGTATCGACGACGTCAGGCAGGAGTCACCTGGTCTTCTGTTGCAGGACTTGTTTGCGCTAGCGTGCTGTGCGGCTCCACCGAATGAATATCTATCTCGGGAGCGTTATGGCGTTCCCAAAAGATAACAGGCGGAGGAGATCAATGTCACGCTCGATATATGAGCGGGGTGGTCGTATGCAAGACAACTGTCCAGGGATTTGGAGGGGTAGTACCAAAAAGTCGAGCGACGCGAAGTTGGCGACGCTTTCAGAGCTGGTTCGTACGTGTCGGGGTCGTAAACGTGGTCGTCCTTTGGGAGTGAGGACGGAGGGGGGAGGAGCAAAATAGAAGAGGAGTAGGAGAGGTCGTTAGATGATTTCGTTCGTAGCAATGTAGCGTTGCGTGGGCGGGTAGGGGAGGAGAGGGGGAGAAACCGTTAGACCGACAGAGGGTGGATGAGATCTCTCTTGCTCTGTAGGAAAGCGGGTTCGGGCGGACGGGGAGGACAGGCGACGAGTCGGGAGGGAGAGGGGGGGAGGGAGGGGGAGGAAAGGAGGAGGTGGAGTGAGGAGTGGTCGGATGAAAAAGCGGGCGGGTTGGAGGGGGTTGAGGATGTTGTTGGGTGAGGCTGAGTGAGAGGCTGAGTCTGGGCTGAGTGGTGAGTGCAGGGTGGGAGAAGGGTCGGTCGGTGGGGAGAGACGCTGGCGGGGAGGGAGAGAGAGAGGGAGAGAGCATACGACCGCAGCGTACAGCCAGCAGCCCGTGCCTGGTCAGCGAGCAGAAAGGGACTGGGGCACTTGAGCAGAGGTTCAAGTGGGCGCCCGACCCGAGCCCATGGCCTGCCTACTGGGCAACCCTTGGCCAGACATTTCAGGCACGCTCTAATGCTATCCAAATGGACACTATTACTCCATCTCCCATTAGTCTTATTCACTGCGCGTCTAATCAGCAAATCACTCCGGCCTCTGCATCTCCTGAGCCTAGGGTGTCAAATCGACGTGTCGAGATCTCTTGCATTTCGATGCGCACACACGCGCATGCCGAACTCCAGGGCTACAATTGCCACAGGGCTATCCCATTCCCTAGGCATTCAGCATTCATCTCATCGACATTCTCTTGTACAAAGCTGCGCGTCTGCCTGCGGGTTTGCGGGTTCTGCGGCTGCCGACTGTTCTGCACCCACAGTCCGCAGGGAAGACGAGAGCGACCCAGCAGCGGCCGGCCAGCTGTCCGACGAGCCAGCGCGGGTCTGCGGGTCTGCCGGGCTCACGGGTCAGCGGGAACCCAACCGGCTCTTCGTAGCCCTTTGCCATCCCTTGGAGTGCCATCTTGCTCTGCTCTCTCGAGGAGCTCTAGAGCTCTACTGGTGCGCGATGATGCCATTTTGTTCCAGAGTCGTCAATGACCGAACATCATAGGTTCGTTGGGACAGGACACAGTACGAGCGGGACGAAGGCCCAAGGCGCCTGCACGCGCGCGCGCCCGACCCTAAAGTCTACATCCCAGGAGATGCTGGGTTCGTAATGAATGGTGCTGGTTTAGATCAGGCAGACAGTCTGGTCCAGCTCTCTGGGCCCTGTTGGCCCTTGGAGCTGGTCGACTCGGCGCAAAGCAACGAAACCCGACGCTCTTCTAGGCGAGGTATGCCGCCACGCAGGCGTTGCCTGCAGCTCGGACCTTTGTGCACGGCACGCGATCGATCTGCACGCCCAGTTGCGAGGGAGGTGCACGACGACGCATCTGTGCACGGCACTCAACGCGTCGACGCGCTGCGCGCTCCGGCATCGCCGCAACATGGTTTGCGCTTGCCCCGGGACCGCTTTCCTGTCCTCTGCTCTCTTGCATCTGGACAAAGGTACAGGATACACAGGACAGATGAGGCTCATTGGAGGACGAGGATAAGGCTTGACCCGCTCGCGCTCTCGGATACAGCGATCCTGAACTACCACCCTTTGCAGGATCGTCGGGACTGCCGGAAACGGCAAGAACGCGGTGCGGCTGCTGGCGCGCCGGGTTGCCGCGAGCACCACAAGCTTGAGATTTCGGCATGCATCTCAGGACATGCTTGCCGCGTGGTCGTGGGTCGCGCTCTTCCTGCCGACGTTGCTTCGAGCTTCGGGAGTGTATTGGTAGATGCTCTCCCCGATGCCGTGTCTGGGAGCTTGCGCTGCAGATGTGCGTGCGGAGCGGTGTCTGCGGAGTAGTGCGCAGGAGGAGCTAGGCCAATTCATGCAGCTGCGAGGCTGCGTACTGGTGTATAGCATGAAAGAGCGGGGATGTTCATGTATCGATGGCAGAGTGTGGATGCTGTACACATGCTGTAATGTAGAGTGCAGGTGATACGGCTTCCCCTGCTTACCCCTCTCGATTCATCGACATTGGGGCTACTTGACGATGAGTGTGGATGTGCAGCTGGAGTAGTGGACGAATGAGGCAGATACCCCTCCTTCCCCTGGTGTAGCGGTTGCCCCCTCCAGCCTGCCGTCATGAGTTTGCTGGGTTCTTGCTCAGACTGGAACAACAGCCCCTCGTCTACCCCTGCTTACTCCTCTGGATTCATGTCTCATCGACGCTGGGCCTGGTTTGCTCATCTCCAGAGAGCGGAGCATGCAGAGGAGCGACGGAGATGGAGGAACTTGACCTCCTCGGGCACATGTAAGCGACGCGCAGTTCGGACATCGGCCGCTCCGCGGAGTTGGCCAGCCACACCCTCAAGAGCTGGCCGAGGCGATGCTGCTCGAGCTACTCGGGCATGCCGGGCCGCCAGCCTCCCCACTTTCTCGCAGCGGAGCAGGCGGAAGTTCAACGATTATCTCACCTTACGAGAGGCCACTGGGAATCGCAGTCTCTCTGCCCCTTGGCTGTCCTCGGAAGCTGGAAACCACCCCGTCCGAATGCCAAGGGCATGGAGCCAAACTAGCCCTCCGTCAATGACGAGGTCGGGCCAAGCTCACGGAATACTTCTGCTCATGTCCTAAGTCTTTCATTTAATCAGCGCGGATCCGTGAAGCTGCCACCTGCCCAACTCGGACAGTCACCGCATGCCACACCGTCGTCGCAATCCGCCTTGCGACGAACCGACTCACCAACACCGCAAAAGCCAGATACGCGGTGCCTCATCCCAAGCAGGTCCTAGCGAATAACACAAAACGTAAGCAATTCGGCCAGCATAAGGTGTCGGAATCGGAGCATTTTGCATTTGTACGACAATCCATTTCATCAATTGACAGGCTTTGTGCAGGTTTAACCTTGTCTGCCTGGTCCGAGGGTACGAGACTGTCAGATGGGACCGCCAATTGTACAGCCATGCGCTGCGTGCGTGCATGCAAGCATGCTCTCGGCTCGGCTTTGACTTGCTTCCGTGGAGCTCGCTGCTGGGACTCAAACACCATGCGGAGCACGGTCTGTGGGAAGTCAACGGGGACCGAGGACTGACCCGAACGCGCGAACGCGCAAATTAAAGACGCTTGGCCGAGCAAAGCTTATGGCAACAACAAGATTAGGCAAGGTGTGCCGCGGACCGAGTAGTGATCGTCGTATCGAGCCAAAAGATCGGTGATCCCCATCGTGCGCCGTTGCCAGGCAAACAAACACGCAGACCCCGCATTCCAAGCGAGTCAACGGCGTGTGTCTTTGTTTGCACCCGACGCCCGGAACCTTGTAAACCTTGCGAAACCTTGTGGGCTTTTCAGATGTCCCGGTGACGCTCCTCACACTCACCGAACGGTCGATCCGAGGCAACAGCGTCGAGCATCGAGCTCTATGGATTGTCAGCCTGGCGTTCTCGACGTCTCGGCGTAGTTTGCCCCCGAACTAGTCCCCAGCTCTACGCCGAGGACCGAGTCATGCAAGGAGACGGAGTATCATCGCGAGAACTGTGCCATGAAGAGGATGGACAGACGTGCACATCCCCTTCATCTGCGTACTCCGCGATCGTCGCATCCGACATCTGACCAGCGGTATCGTGGCGAGATACGCGAACCTCGTCCTCGGCGTCGTCCTTTCGGGTGTGCTCCTGAGTAGACAGACCCGAGGTCTTCTCCTGCATGGCAGGCAGTGCGCGCAGTGCGGGCACCCCGGGCAGCGGTCGTGCCGGTGATGGTGGACTGCGGCGCACGGCGGCGCCACGAGCACACACGGGCAAAAGCACAGCATGGCTTTCAGTGCGCTTTCAAAGTGCCTCGCGGAAAGTGGCCCGTGAATAGATAGCCAAGGCGCCACGCCCAATCTTCCCTACCTCTCAACATCAAAGCCCTTCGGGTTGTACCTCAATATGCAGCAACAGTCTCGTAAAGCGGAGCATGGGCATTCATGTGGGTGTCTTCCGTCGATTCCAGCAACGTAACTTATTCACTTTGGCTGAGGATTCTTGTCCTGGATCTGGGAAGAGTGGATCGAGTTCCGGTAGACTCATTGGGCTCGGGGCGGTGATCGTCATAGGAGATAGCCTTGGCTATCAGCAGCGGAGCATCGTTCGAGGGGACCGAGGCTACGGATGGTAGTACGGCTGACCCGGCAGTGGAGAATGGGCGCCGCACAGCTGAATCTGTTGTTGGCGCCCACTGTCCAGTCGCCGGAATGGCGTCTGTAATCGATGGCTGATAACGTATGCGCAGCGTACACTCAGCCTCCGAGACCGTCACACAACAGACGTGTGAACGGTTACCTCCCTACACTCGAGTATGCTTACTACCCCCAAAAGCCCCAACCCGATCGACCCGACCTTCCAATCCCAGCTGGGTTGCTCGCGTGGTAGACATGTGGACATGTGGTCCCCGATCGAACAAAGTTCACATCAAGACGCGTCCTGCGTTCAACATGGCGACGGGACCGATCGTTCCTCGACGCGTCCTCCGTCAATAACCTGTCCGCGGCCGTGAAGTCGGCATTGTGAGATCTGGGCGTTCAAACGCTCAGACACGAGAGAGGGTGTGGCGTTTTTCTGGCGCCGCGTTGCGCCCTAGCGTTTGTGGTGAGGTGTGGGACTGCGGAATCGGGGCGAATACACGGCGCCGTGTGCGCCGCGTGCACCGACCTCTGCGGCCTTGAGACCTCGAGGCCTTTTCGGTCTCCGACGAAGAGCAACGGAAAAGGTCGCCGAGAAACGAGAAACGTGGTACGCTGGTTACAGCAAGCACATCTGTGATTATTAATGCCAAGACCTGTCTGGTGCTAGGTCATAGGGAAACACCTGCGGCGTAGGCCAGGCGCAGGCGGCGATGCCCGACACGGCGACCGCGAACGGCGCGAATGGATCTAGGCTGAAACCGTGAAACGGACAGGATGGCAGGTGTGGTACTCACTCGTCCACTCGTGACACTCGTTGATCCTCTTCGCGCCGTCGATTCCGGCGGGCCGGAGATCTCCCTTCACCGTCTTCGAATGAGAATGCTCTGACCGGCCGACATGCCGGCGGAATCCTCTGTGCTCCTCAGCAGCGTTCGTGTGATGCGTCAGGACGTGCATGTCCAGTGCGCTCTCGGATGTCCTTGAGACATGCCGACCCACTCGCGGCCACTCGCGGCCACTCGACCCACTCGCGATTAGAGCGCGGAACAAGACACAAAGACCAGGGCTCTTTGTATTCATTGCAACGAGCACGCGAGTGGGAAGAGATGCTCGGTTGCTCGCTTACTGCTCCGCATGCTCCGGGCAAGGAGGGGGTTCCGTTGGACAGCTCAAAGGAGTGCACGGTGAAGGGAAGGGGAGGGTGGACTTTTCATCGCAATCAATTGAATTAGCGGAATCAAACGCGTCTACACGGGAAATGAGGAGTTCAGTGGTTGCAGTCGAATGATTATGCATTGCATTACGAAAAGCGATAATGGCGATTAGGAAGGGGAATAGGAGGGATATGAAGTCCAGGGATAATGAGGACCGTGCGCGTGCGCGTGGCTCGGGTCTGCAGGGGCTTGGGAGAGGCCGCGTGGCGACTGGCCAACCAGAGGGCAGCCTCGGGCCCTCAGCCTTCTCCTAGTGCCATAGTGGCCAGCGTCGCGTCGCAGCGCCCGCCCTCCCCGCCGCCGCCGCCGCCCAGTCAACGAACGCACGCTCACCCAACGCGCTCTCTCCAGCTCTCCCCCGCCTACGGCCATTCACTCACCCTGGCACCTCGCCTTGACCCGCTCGACCCGCCCTGCACCCGCCGCCATCCCA